TACCTCCTCCATCAAGAGCCAGAGTCAAAGTCAGAGATCCACTTTTTCTTTGACCTTTGGACCAAAATGACCTTGACCATTTACCCAGTGACCCTGATCTTTGGTCAGTTGACTTATTCTTTAGTTCTGACCAACTTTGCTCCTTAATATCATAACAAAATGTTCATCAGTGAAAATACAAAACTTGACCTTGACCCTTTGAAACCCATAACCTGGACCTAAGGTCAGTTTACTCTGGGTTAAGTTCTGAACAACATTGCTTCATAATGTCATAACAAAATGTTCATCAAGGAAAAGATACACAAGTTAACCTTCACCTTTGACCCAGTGACCTTGAACTTTGGTAAATTGACTCCTTGTTTAATTTGAGCTACATTGCTTCAAAGTGTCATAGCGAAATGTTCACCAGTGAAAAGATCCAAAATTTGACCTTGACCCCTAACCCGATGACCTTGACCTTTAGTCAGTTGACTCCTTGTTTAATTCTGATCAACTTTGCTTCATAATGTCATAACAAAATGTTCATCAGTGAAAATATGTAAAATTTGACCTTGACCTTTGAACCTAATGACCTTGACCTTTGACCTTGACTTTTTACCGCAATGTGTATTTTTGTGAACTAAACATCTATAGTGATTACTATAGGGCACCCGTATCTCCGATATGGGGCCCTAATAAGTCTCTTTGTCAATATAAGTTACTAACCTCTATGTACATCAAAAGTAAGTGGATGTCAGTCGATTTAACAATATAGGTTACTACCCTCTATTTAAATAAAAAATTAGTGGATGTCAGTCTCTATGTCAATATAAGTTACTACCCTCATTTTACATCAAAAGTAAGTGGATGTCAGTCTCTATGTCAAGATCATTTTTACCCTCTTTATACATCAAAAGTAAGTGGATGTCAGTCAATATGTCAATATAACTTTCTACCCTCTTTTTACATCAAAAGTAAGTGGATGTCAGTCTCCATGTCAATATAGGTTACTACCCTCCATGTACATCAAAAGTAAGTGGATGTCAGTCTCTATGTCAATATGGCTTACTACCCTCTATGTACATCAAAAGTAAGTGGATGTCAGTCTCTATGTAAATATAGGTTACTACCCTCTATGTACATCAAAAGTAAGTGGATGTCGGTCTCTATGCCAATATAGGTTACTACTCTCTATGTACATCAAAAGTAAGTGGATGTCAGTCTATATGTCAATATGGTTTACTACCCTCTATGTACATCAAAAGTAAGTGGATATCAGTCTCTAAGTCAAAATCAGTTACTAACCTCTTTATACATCAAAAGTAAGTGGATGTCAGTCTCTATGTCAATATAAGTTACTACCCTCATTTTACATCAAAAGTAAGTGAATGTCATTCTCTATGTCAATATAGGTTACTACCCTCTATGTACATCAAAAGTAAGTGGATGTCAGTCTCTATGTCAATATAGGTTACTACTCTCTATGTACATCAAAAGTAAGTGGATGTAAGTCTCTATGTCAATATAAGTTACTACCCTCTATGTACATCAAACGTTGATGTCAGTTTCTATGTCAATATAGGTTACTACCCTCTATGTTCATCAAAAGTAAGTGGATGTCAGTCTGTATGTCAATATAGGTTACTACCCTTTATCTATATCAAAAATTAGTGGATGTCAGTATCTATGACAATATAAGTTATTTCCCTCTATGTACATCAAAATTAAGTGGATGTCAGTCTCTATGTCAATATAAGTTACTAACCTCATTTTACATCAAAAGTAAGTGAATGTCAGTCTCTATGTCAATATAGGTTACTACTCTCTATGTACATCAAAAGTAAGTGGATGTCAGTCTCTATGTCAATATAAGTTACTAACCTCATTTTACATCAAAAGTAAGTGAATGTCAGTCTCTATGTCAATATAGGTTACTACTCTCTATGTACATCAAAAGTAAGTGGATGTAAGTCTCTATGTCAATATAAGTTACTACCCTCATTTTACATCAAAAGTAAGTGACTGTCATTCTCTATGTCAATATAGGTTACTCCCCTCTATGTACATCAAAAGTAAGTGGATGTCAGTCTGTATGTCAATATAGGTTACTACCCTTTATCTATATCAAAAATTAGTGGATGTCAGTATCTATGACAATATAAGTTATTTCCCTCTATGTACATCAAAATTAAGTGGATGTCAGTCTCTATGTCAATATAAGTTACTACCCTCATTTTACATCAAAAGTAAGTGAATATCATTCTCTATGTCAATATAGGTTACTACCCTCTATGTTCATCAAAAGTAAGTGGATGTCAGTCTGTATGTCAATATAGGTTACTACCCTTTATCTATATCAAAAATTAGTGGATGTCAGTATCTATGACAATATAAGTTATTTCCCTCTATGTACATCAAAATTAAGTGGATGTCAGTCTCTGTCAATATAAGTTACTACCCTCTATGTACATCAAAATTAAGTAGATGTCAGTCTCTTTGTCAATATAAGTTACTACCCTCTATGTACATCAAACGTTGATGTCAGTTTCTATGTCAATATAGGTTACTACCATCCATGTACATCAAAAGTCAGTGGATTACAGTCTCTATGTCAATATAAGTTACTACCCTCTATGTACATAAAAAGTTAGTGGATGTCAGTCTCTATGTCAATATAAGTTACTACCCTCTATGTACATCAAAAGTAAGTGGATGTCAGTCTCTATGTCAATATAAGTTACTACCCTCCCTGTACATCAAAAGTAAGTGGATATAAGTCTATATGTCAAAATCATTTTAACCCTCTTTATACATCAAAAGTAAGTGGATGTCAGTCTCTATGACAATATAAGTTACTACCCTCTATTTAAATCAAAAGTAAGTGGATGTGAGTCTCTAAGACAATTTAAGTTACTACCCTCTGTGTACATCAAAAGTGGATGTCAGTCTCTATGAAGCTGAAGTTACCTTTATTGATAATGTTGTGTTTTAATTTTTTTCTTGTAATTTTATTCAAAAGTACTCCTTTTGCAACTGATTTGGATTTCAAAATAACCAGAACAAGAGGCCCAGAGGGCCTGTATTGCTCACCTGAACATGTTTAAAATAATTGGTATGAAATTAAGAAATAGCACTCCATGGTAGGTGCTGTAAGTACATATGAAATTTCAGAAAGATCCATCCAGTACTTGAGATATAACAAATTTCAAACAGACCCCCACCCCTATGGGGGGTCATACCCAACATTTATACAAAATTGAGTCCCCTTGGCCAAAGGATGCTCCAGACTAAATTAGGATAAAATCCCTTAATCCCTATGATAGAAGAAGGATTTTAAAGGTTTTACCTCTACTTCCCCTATAGGGCCCAGCCCCCTCAGGTCCCGGGGGAGGGGGGACACACCCACCGTTTACACAAAATTGGTTCCCCTTTACCCAAGGATGCTCCACACCAAATATGGACTAAATCTTTTCATTCCTACAGAAGAAGAAGGATTTTAAAGAATAATTTGCTATGTTTCCCCTCTTAGGCCCCTGGGGGTCAGACCCATGGTTTATACAAATTTGGTACCTCTTCACCCAAGGATGATTCAGACTAAATATGGAATAAATCCTGTCATTCCTACAGAAATAGAAGGATTTTTAAGAATTTGATATATTTCCCATATTGGGCCCCGCCCCTCAGCCCCCAAGGGGGCCAGACCCACCATTAACAAAATTGGTTTCCCTTAACCCAAGGATGCTTAACACCAAATATGGACCAAATCCTGTCATTCCTACAGAAGTAGAAGGATTTTAAAGAATAATGTTTCCCTACTGGGCCCCACCCCTCAGGCCCTTGGGGGGCCAAACCCACAGTTTATACAAAATTGAGTCCCCTTGGCCAAAGGATGCTCCAGACTAAATTAGGATAAAATCACTTAATCCCTACGGTAGGAGAAGGATTTTGAAGGTTTTACCTATTTCCCCTATTCGGCCCCACCCATCTTCCCCAAGGGGCGCCACATCCACCATTTATACAATATTGAGTCCCCTTGGCCCAAGGATGCTCCAGACTAAATTAGGATAAAATCCCTTAATCCCTACGGTAGAAGAAGGATTATGAAGGTTTTACCTCTATTTCCCCTATTTGGCCCCGCCCCTCTGCCCCCAGGGGGGCCACACCCACCATTTATACAAAATGAGTCCCCTTGGCCTAAGGATGCTCCAGACCAAATTTAGTAAAAATCTACTTGGCCATTGAGGACTAGTGGCGTTTTAAAGGAAAAGTTGACGGCCGGAAACCGGACGCCGGACGATGCGGTTTGGCATAAGCTCACCATGGTCCTTCGGACCAGGTGAGCTAATAAAAATATTGAGAAGCTGAGAACACTACAAAAGAAATTGCTCTCATTTAGAATTTTTCTCTCATTCTTAATTTAGTCTTCATTACCTGTTGGTAGAACTTGATTACTTGTTCTGATGTTTTTTGGTGAGCAAAGCTATGGACGGAGTCAGTAAGTGCAATAGCCATTACCTTCTCTTCAAACTCATCTATGTGGTTCTTAGCCTGTCACAATGAGAACAACAGTGTCCAATATTATATAAATGCCAGTGAGATATTGGATTCTATCATTGTGATGTAACTGATAACTGTTCGCAGTGTAACTTTATCACTTTTATTATTGAACAATCAGAAGAGCAATTTTATTCACTGCATCAAATTCAAATGAAGTGATAGTAGAATAAGCAGTTATGTTTCAGTACATATAATATAACATGAGAATTTAGTAAGCTACACAATTGATAACATCTGTCGATGCAAATTTTATCAGATAATACATATAACTAAAAACAGTATAATTTTGCCACTCAAATTTAAAACTGTTAGGCTAAATAAATACATTTGTCCTCCTGAAAAAAAACCCGTTACATCAATTTTCATTTAAGGATAATTCTTCATTTACTTAAAAAAAAACAAAAAAACATGAAAATTAACAATGGGCAATAAAACTGCAGTCATCAGGAAGAATGTGCAACATGTGCAATTTGCACACATTTTTAAAAGAAAAATATCCTTGGTCTGCCGTATGGGCACATTGAGGTTTTCAATCATCAATAGACCATATAAAGATGTTACTATTGGGGAACATAATAAAATAACAAGTATTAAATGTAATGGGGGACCATAACAGAAGTCCCCCAAACTGCCCCCATACTCACACAGATGCATCAGAAAAGGAAGGCAATACCATGTAATACACCAACAATGTACATACTAAATTTGAATATAAAACAATTTCGACCGCCATTTTGAATCCAAAGTCAATTAGTTTTTTTGTCGAAAACGAGCACTGTGACGTTATCATCCCTTTCACTGAGTTTCATTATGTTCCATCAAATCGCAGTTGTGTTCAATTTGTCAAAATGTGAAACTTGTGTTACAAAAGTGACCGGTGTCCCATGATATACCTACATACAAAATTTCATGAAATCAAACAATATTGAAATATTGACCAATCAGAGGCCAGCAAATGGCAGCCATTTTTTCTTCTTTCAAAAACGAACAATGTAGTTGTGTTCATAGTACCATACTTTACATTCATACCAAATATAAACAAAATTGGACGTTAATCTAATTTCGACTAATCAGAAGCCTGCATTTGGCAGCCATTTTGAATCCAAAGTAAATTATTTTTTTATCGAAAACAAGCGCAATGTTGTTATCATCGCTTTCATCGAGTTTCATTATGTTCAATCAAATAGAACGAATGTTATTACTGGTGATATGATTTCGCCATTGAAATTATGACCAGCCCAGGAAATGGCAGCCATTTTGTTTTTTCACAAAACAAACACCGCAGTTTTGTTTGTAGTGACATACTACACCTACATACCATATTTCATCAAAATATGACGATACTTCAATCTCGACCAATCAGAGGCCAGGAAATGACAGCCATTTTGTCGAAATGTGAAACTGAGGTTACGAAAGTGATAGGTGCCCCATGATATACCTACCTACCAAATTTCATGAAAATCAGACAATATTCAAATTTTGACCAATCAGAGGCCAGGAAATGGCAGCCATTTTGTCGAAATGTGAAACTGAGGTTACGAAAGTGACCGGTGTTCCATGATATACCTACATACCAAACTTCATGAAACGCCGAGTTTAATTATATTCCGTCAAATAAAACGAATATTATCACTGGATATGATTTCAGCCAATCAGAGCAGCGGCGGCCATCTTGGATGGATGACGCGGGAAAAATAAGAGTCAGATGCACAACTAGACATCATCATACTCATTAGGTATGCGATGTTTGATAAGAACCCACCAAGCAGTTCCTGAGATTAAGCGCGGAAACTTTCATCGGAAAAATAATAATAAAAATAAGTAAGAAACGGAACAATAACAACAAGTCGCCCAACTTCGTTCAGGGTGACTTAAGGTGGGTCCATCCTTTTTGAAAAACCCATGTCATTTTTTTCTAATTAGGCTTATTTTCTTGCATGTTTTACGTAGATTCCATATATGAAAAGAAAAAAGGGGGTTCTCGACTTACTTTTTGAGATATTTCCGCTGTAAGGTAGCTACTTTTCTGCAAATTTCCCCCAAAATATGAAACTTATGTAAAAAAATATTTTCTATAATATTTACAAAATTTGAGTTACCACAAAGTTGAATAGTTTTTACACATCTCGTGATGTACTATCAAAAGCAGAAATAAAACAAAATGATTATATTTGGTATATTTATGAATTTTTCATGGCCATCTATTCTCTTCAAAATGCAATTTTAACAAATTTACATCGAACGAATGCATTAAAAACAAGCAAAAATGCGATCAAAACCCATGTCAATTTTATAAAACTTTTACAGAAGACAGCCAAGTATATATGATTTTTGGTCAGCATAAACAAATGTGGAGTTCCCGGTGAAATTTTGCAATTTCGCTCACTTGAAGTTGGAACTCCATTCCCCCACCCCATTTTGCCTATTCCTTTTTTAATGCGTAAAAGGCAAAATTATGTCATATTATTATCAATACCGTCACAAATATAATACTTTATCGTGTCCCCACACTTATATTTGATATACATTAAAATCAAATAGCATTAATACTCGGAACTTAAATAAAAATCAATTTTACGAAGTTCCGATTCGTATTCCGGATCGATATATCTTTGGACCGCCTCTGGGTCTGGTTTTATACACGAAATTATATTTCCGTACACAATGTTAGCGCACCATTCCAAACGTGTTGTGCTTGATTTCACTGTTTGTTGTGTAGTTCCTGTATATTTGCTACCATTCCCTAGTCTACATCTAATTATTGCTGTATATTTATCGTACCATAGACAATAGAGCTCAAAACACAGTGTTACAGAAGTACGAGCGGAATATGTCGTTTCCGCGATACATGTTTCCGGAACTAAAAAAAGTTTTGCAAATTATTTTGATCATATGTCTTACACTTTTTTATACACTGAGCATTAAATACTTCTGACATTCAAAATGTTTTAAAAGCTGATTTTAATATATGAAAATTCAATGTGTGGATGTAAACAATTACATATGTTAGACATATTACTGTTACACTGGGTTTTCCTACATTCGAGCACTTGTCTACCTTGTTATTACACTTTTGGTCACACAGAGCATATCTACAGGCTGTAAAAGCAGTTCCAGTAGTATAGTTCACAGCAAGTGATTGCAGAACTTGAGGACATCACATGTCATGCTAAGATCTAGACAGGACAGAGAAACAAACTAAAATAATATCTTGCATCAGAATCAGTAGTGGAGGCATCAACATTGGAAGGCTTAAAGGCCAGGTTGAATACCATCCCCAGTTACACATCTCTAAGACAGCTCCCCCAAGTATACATTAATGTACAAAGTTTTTACTTTGATTTAATTATTTTTTTCACTTTTTGAGATGCACTGAGTCAAATACATTCAATCCGAGGAGAACATTCTAGTTCCCAGTGTGGGATTCTGAGACTACATGTAATATGATGAGAGGTGGGGAGGTGGTTGCACATTTACAATGTACTTGTGTGTGTGTGTGTGTGTGTGTGTGTGTTGTGTGTGTGTGTGTGTGTGTGTGTGTGTGTGTGTGTGTG